ATATGGGCATTTGAAGTTCGAATGTTGAAGAAATTCTATGTTTAAACAAAAAATAACAATTTTAGTAAGTTATTTTTAAGTAATTCAAAAAGTATTGATGGCAGAGACTTTTCGAAATTAATTTTATTTCCATTTTCAATGTACATATAATACAGACTAATTTTAAGTTATTTATACCCTGAATCCATTGACATCGTTTACGGAACCAATACATCGGTATATTGGAATTTAAGTTTATAACAATAATATATGATTTAGGGACCTAATCTTAGCAGGTATCACTGTAGTACCAGGCATGTTATTTTTTGACAACTTCCGTTTAAAAAATAGAAAAATGAAGTGATAATAAGAATAAGTATTGACACTCACTTTCTGCTCAGAATCGTTTCTTGTTTGAAATGAATAATTTTTGAATTTTGAAATTAAGATCCTATCTATTAGTTATTATTGGAACCTATGTCCTTATACTGAATGGCGATGTACACTCGATACCTATACAATACAGCAGAGCGACTTAACATAATTTTTTTAAAGTTTACACGCATATATTTATAATTGCTTAAGCATAATATACATACTATAAAACTTGTTTTTTTACTGTTCTAATAGATTTTATCAATTTCGTTTTTACCGTAGGAAGGTAGGTTTACTGTAGGTAGGTACCATTGCTTTTTAGTTTAATAAGTATACATTCCAAAAGTGGGACAAATCAATGTGTCATCATATTAGTTTTTTACTAATTATATTTATATTATAATTATCAAGCAATAGTTATTGTTTAGCTAGTGAAATTAATAATATACCCACCATTACTCAGATATTAGTCTATGACGTTATGCTATTCTAATGTTTATGTAACAGATTAGTAATAAATTATGATTATTCATGTTTTCAGTAGTCATTTTTTGACATACAATATTTATTGGAATTTACTGCATTGTAAGTTAATGTACAATATTTGTAATCATTATTTACTTATCATACTAGTTTATATTCAAAAATCTCAAAGAATTAACATCTTCATATAATTTTTAGTACCTACTTGTTCATAGTTATTCCAATTTTAAATTCTGATTCAATTATATTAGTACATTGCTTCTATTATTAACTATACTATGTTCCTGTCGATTGAATTTTGGATTATATAATCTCTTTAATATTATATTATACTTACTTAAATTAAGAAGTCATTGACTATTTACTAATATAATTGTCGAATAAAATCATAGATATTCTACTTGAAAGTTGTACTTAAATAAAATAACGAATAAGTTATTAGTTATAATTGTTTTGATTTTATATTGTTTATTATTTTATATTTCCTATAATATTGAGATTTCGTATACTCGTATCTAACATGTTTTTAATAGTATAAACGATTAAAGTTTCATTGATTTCTAAAAACATAAATTGGTGTAAATAACCAAACTTTTCTTAGCATTTCTAATCCATCAATATATAATTATTTATAATTTTATTATAAATGTGAGTATGATGATTGATGACTATATAAATATTATGTTATTATACTGATACTTACAAATTTCAGAAAAAACTTTTGTCTTAAAATGTTATTTGCTTATTTCATTGTTAATAAAAAATCCGAATAGTTATTGATTTCAATGAAATGATGTACCAGTGTTACTGTGTTGGTAATAAAACATAAGCTAGAAAAACAATCAAGTACCTAATAAGTATTTCAGTTGTATATCATTAATAAATGTATCCAAATACATTGACGGGTTTTTAAATCAGCAATCCTAATTGATATGACTTTTTGTTAAGTATCATTTTAAAACGATTTCATTTTTGAAAATAGTCATATTTTTAGGTACCATGGTAATATTATTTGTAAAACCATTATTAAAATAAGTTAATTTTGAATCAATGTTATTAACTATGTATTAGAATACCTAAAATGTTATGATTAAAAATATTATACTCATCATTATATTTTCTCCCTAAGATGCTCAGTCATTTCTAAAGTGAAATGCCTACTCAATGTTCTCAATTTTCTACGCTTCATATTGTATTCCACTATTTACTTAATGTACTCACTTGTATAGATTATACATTTTCATTAAATAATAAAGAATTTAAAAAAATATATTATTAACGAAAAAGTAAGACACTTATTATTGGATTTTATACAGCTTGTGTTACAATGTTTAGTCTAATTTTAAATATTAAAATATTTATTATTTAGGTAGAAAATTCAATTTGTTGGTATTATTTAAATATCTAATCGACAAGTTTTTTTTTATTTCCTAATTTACGTCTCTGAAAATTCAAATAGCTACCTACGGCAAGTTTTTCGAAAGAAAAAAATGTATATATATTAATAATCACTTACTTTTATTTTTATATCCATAATATGTAAATAAATTAATATTTTCTTCACTGCAAATAAATTTATAGATGTGTAAACATAATGTAATAATAATAATAATACAAAATTTAATAATAGTAACTATAAAAGAGTTTTTAGTGTAAAAAAAAAGTAAAAAGTTGTTTGCAAATTATGTCAGGTATTGTACACAACACGTTCAAAACACATTGAATGATACCGATTTAGTGTGAGCTGCAACAGTGACAAACCTAGTGAAACGCTCGCAAGGTCGTGTAATGTGTGTGTTCCTTCTACATGAACCGATCACTATTTTGTATTAGCCACACAATACAGTTGTGCATTACATCCTCCAACACAACAACTGATTTATTATGCGGATGACAACAGTAAAGGTTGCCGTCAATATAATTTTTAATATTTAAATAATAGAATTGATAAGTATATACGTTTTAATTTTAAAATTGGGTTACCCGTACAGATTTTTGTTTAATGGAATATTATTGAGTGATTATAATATTATTATTATAACAAATTAATGTCTAAATTGGTTTATAGTCAAGTACTTATTTACGTTCCATAGTACCTATAGAATATAGATAGTGCTTTCTAGTTACTACCTATACAGTATAATATAAATTATGCCTAAATTATATACTTTGGCCTACAACATGGATATTTTTCAACCTAACATAAATGTGTGCATATCATTTTAGTTCATACGAATGTTTTGATTGTTACCAACAAAAATATAGATAGTAGTAGAATTTAGTAAAAATCATACAAATAACCAATATTATACATCCCTTGAAAAATAATTAATATTATATAATAATATATATATAAATTAGAAATTTTATATTTTAAATTGAATTGCAATCATTTGACGTTTATCAATATAATATATTGGAAATTGGAATTAGATATAAATATATAGTAAATCAATGTAGCTATACTTAGTTAATAATCATGTACAGCTGTAATCGTTATTTACATTAATTTTTTTCATAACGTAGACAAAACAATTTTTATGAAACTATTAATTAAATAAATAAAAATTCTTTATTAATATTTTTTTATTTAATTAAAAACACTTAAACAAATGTAATTATTAACTGTACATCGCCAAAAAAATAAAAAATATTTAGAATTTGAGCGAAGCAAGTGGCCTACCTGGAATATTTTGGCTTATATTTTTGTTTATTTCCTATGTATATCTAAACTGTGAACATAATTTAAAGTAGAACGCCGAAGGAGTGCTGTTATAACGTAGAACTTAGAGCTTTTATATATCAGAGCTCTTATCTGGATGATTCAGCGAGGAGGTAATTATTTTCTGTAATTTATTTAAATACAGGGAAAAACTATCGACGAACGTCAAATATTACTGAAGAAATGTCAGAAAATGTCATGACTGTAAACTTTGTACCTAAACTTGTAGTTGAGCCTTTTTAGAATCAATTTTCAAATAACTTGTTTTATAATGGATTTTAAATATAACATCAAAATACACCAATATGTATTTTTTTTCGTTTTTAATTTAAATAGCTTAAAATAAAATATAGCTCTGAACCTCGAAGTTAATTATTTTTTGTCTCTGATAAAATATTCTATTTCGAAAAAAAATTAACTCAAATGTTTATAAAAATTTGATTTTTTTAATTGTCTTCAATTTTTATCAGTAAAATACCTCGAACATTTTCAATAGGCTGTAAGTCAATAATTATAAAAGATTAACAATAACTGACAACATTATTTAATTCTACAAAGCAGTAATGATAATAATGAATTAAAAATAGCGAGTTTGAGCATACCCATAGCACAGTTACTGCCACAGTAATGTAATGAAATACCAATCAAGTTGACCACCAACCGTAACGTTATAGGTAAGTATAATAAATTATGTCATACTATTGAAACAAAAATTTAACACGAGAGTTTGAAGGACGTGACCATGGGTTTATTTAAAATGTAAAACACTATAATTTACAATACAAAATAATGTGTTAAGCTAATGTTCAGTTTAATATTTTATTTAATTAGATATACCTATAATATAACGTAGGTATATTTTTATTTACGATAATCAGGTATTCGAGTTTATATTAATTATACCTTCCCTCAATTGTTTTTTTTCAGATTGAAATGAATTATATTATATTGAGAAGTATAATTTGTAATAATTTAATGTAATATAATGTTAGCCATTGTTCTATAATTTAAAAATAGGATATTGGTATATACATTTTGAATAAGTATCTACACTTATAATATGTTAGGTTGGTTAAGTTTAAGCAATTTATGGTTTAAGTTTGAACTATTATAATTAAATATTTAAATGTATTGATTTCACGAACCTATAGTCATCGTAAACATGTCATTACTTTGTACTAAATATTTAAAATTGTTATATTTATATGCATTAAGTTATTTTTAAGTTTAAAATATGTGTTCAAAAAGAGCACGCAATAATTGTGTCAATGTACGTTGCAGTATCATTAGTATTTATTAGTAAAACAACTATTATTATCAACTATCAAGTAGTTTCAAAATCAGAGAAAATTACATCTATCGAGTTCGTAATTTTTGCGATAGATGTCGCATTCGGCGAACCTCCAACCCTCATTCCGTTCGTTTTCAACCCCTCATACATGCTTGAGCTTGAGTGGCGTTTTCAAGGAAAACACTAGTTTCCGCGACCGCGTTCTCGCACTTGGACGTATTTAACTCGCGTCTACTTATCGTTCAATTTATGGTATAAATATTAATAACCGATAATCTTCAATAATCATGAACTTCATTTAAACACCAAGAAGTTTTTTGTAAGTATTTTTTTCTCGTTTAATTATTAGCATATCGTTTAATAACAAAAAAAAGTCCAATCTAGAATAATGGTTAGGTAGGTATTATGTATTGTAATACTTGACCGTTACCGTTTGGATATAGGTACTCAGTCATATTATTTTATTTACGTAACTTATTAAATTATGTAGTAAATGTACATAAACAATAAATATATGTTGACTAATTTTAAGCTAGGAAATTCGGGAATATATGTATATTCCTTCAATATATTTTTGTAAACAATGTATTCATAATTTATTATATTTAACATAAGTCTTAACAATATATCTAATATATTAATTGTATTTATGTATTAACATAAATTATTTTTTACATACTATCTAATATAATGTAGGTATCTATATTTTTTGTTTATTTGTTGTTTTTATATATTTATTATTCATACTGTAACACATTGGGTATATTAAAATTGCATAGTTATAATAGTTACTGGGTTGTAGCCTTGTAGGTATCTCTTTTACTTTTGTTTGAATTGGATAGTGGTTCCACGGATCGGAGAAATAGATATATAATACGTATTTATCGTGTGCTGAACTGTTGAAGAGAGTTCTGGAAAAATATAAAAGTAGCGATATGTAACGAGAAATAAAATTGTTCATAACGAGCTATTCCTACACTATCCCAGGATCCCACACATGACGTGATACAAGTCCGCTTGAGTAGCAAGGAAAGCTATCATTTTGAGATTTCGTTTATTTCAATATTATGTCAATAGTATGCATGGCAAATCGGATAAAACAAGATAAATGTGATGGTAAATATGTACATAACACATTAGACATATTCATTTATCTATTCCACATAATGTATCAATATTAAAATCATTAAGCTAACTTTTTTTTATTTAAAAATTGTATTAAATTTATATAAAATGCATAATAAATATCATATAAAATCGTTTTAGTAGGTAATACTAGCTAGGTAGGTGATTTATTACCAAATTAACGAATGAAGTTTAAGTCTACAAAAAAAGATAAAATAAATCGTAATGAATAAATAAATTACATTTGTGCTTGTAATTAATCATCTATGGTTTCAATATAAACAACAATTTATTTTTAAATTATTTAATTTTTAAGTTAACATTGTTATGTGGAAGATAGGTGCATTTTAGGTAGGTCTATGAATATATTGTGTATTTACCTACCATTAACAATTTATTATTGTGTTATAAGTACCTATCTGTTTGGCTCGAAGAAAAAGAGGAATATTTCAATAAATTCTACATGGTATTGTATATTATTAGAATGTATAATATAATGTTAAGTCATGTTACTAATCTAAATTTTAGTGTCTGTTATCATATTTTGGAGTACCTATAGTAAAATTGTTCTGATTTCCAATTTCGGGAGTTGTTTTTGGTAAAAAAAAAATAGATTTAGTAAATTTTTATGCAAGACCATAACAAAATTGATTTATTTTTTTTTTGTTATAACTTCAAAAATGGATAATTGAAAATAACTTGAAAATGTAATATAACATCCCACACAGGTTTTTCTTATTGCAGTTTAAAAATATTATATGAACGACATTTTTTCTAACCGTTTGAAGTTAAAATGTTGATATATTTCGGGAATAGAGGAACATTTTAAAATTATTTTGTGATTACAAATGTATTCCATTTTAAGTTTGTATAACTAATGCTTGAAAATGTTACATTTATACAAGATCCATAATAATTTACTATTATTACCATTTGAAAAATACAACAATACATATGCACATTTTTTTTATTTTAGGCATTTAAAATTATTTTGATTGTCTCTGCTCATAAACGTTTTTCGTATTACATGGTTTATCATTGAGTTATAATTTAACACATCCATTACGGTGACCTACTCAATAAAGAGATACACTCGAATCCTACTGTACAGCAAAGCAGTTACCTACTTTCCCACTTTTTTAACTAACAATTTCCATTTGCTGATTATACAAAATTGGACTTTCTTTTAAAATATGTAATAATATTGATGACTGTTAAATCACTATAATTGTTAGTATATTCTATACATTTTTACACGAAGTTATTTTATTAGAGAGTTAATAAGAATTAATTATTATTTAGAGTTCTATACGATTGTTATGTCTTCGTGTTATGTTGTTTCTATTCAAAGATACCAAATTGAAAAAAAAATTTGATATAAGAGGTTTATAAAATTATTTTTTTTAATTTTATAAGCTCTGTACGATGGGTATAAATGTTTAATGTTGAATGTTTAATGCATTACATTCTAAATTTACTAGCACAAAACATTTCATTTAGTATTTTAAATGGCTAAATCGTGTGCAACGGATTTGACGGCCACCTGGGGCCAGTATTGATTTGGTGTTTTTTTGATAGGTTTTGAGTGGTTGAAATTTTTTTCTTCTACGTTCATTTTACTAGTATTTTTTGTTGTTATTATTTGTTGCCAAAAGTTCCAAAAAACTTTTATTGCGATATCGCGGCGGCAAAGGTGTCGCGTGCCAGCGGTATTTTTGGATGCTTACCAAAAGTCATATGTATCGATCTGTTAGGCATTTCTCACCTTCCCCAACCCTAGATGATGGTTAAGATGGAAAAATATATAAAAACATGAGAGAATTGAACGAGTTAAAGTTCTAATAAACACGACTTTTTGGCAAACAGTCAAGACGTGCTTAGAATTATACTGGTGCCATCCATCAGTGAAAGCTTATCCCACCATACTATAGTGATGAAAGGAATTATGTTCTGACACTTACAAACATTGAATTTATGTAAGTAACAAGTATTTCTTAAATTTAAAATTTTTAAAATTCAAATTTATATTATGGTTAAAACTAATTTGTTGATAGTAAATACATATTTCAAAACACAAACGTTTAATTTGTCCAGAACCTATTCCAGATATAGAGAATAGATATTAGGAACTATTATCGTATCTGACCAGATGAGACTACTTTTTATGAGATTTCGAGCAAAGCGAGAAAAATATTGAATTTATAATTTTATTTAAAAAAAATGATTTATATTTTATGAACAGAATACACCTATAACCACAATCAGTACCATAGTTTCTTTTCTCACTTTTCTCCTAAAGTTTCTTTAGTGGTTGATTATACTTTAATCGGCTGGTTTTAGAATTTAAGCAATGCAATGAAAGTGTATTAAATTTAAATTATTTGCTTATTATTAAATATGTAGCTTTAGAATTTTATTTTTAATTCGTTTAACTTTATTAATTTGTTTCTGTTGAAATAGAATGTGCAATCCCAATATTTCTATTATCATATTACATAGTATATTTTTCAGTTAATACTGTTTTGAGATGGATAGAAATAATGCTTCAAAAATGTCATAACATCTATTTTTGTCGATTTGAAATATTACATATTATTATTATGTTGTCGACACTTGAAAGATATAATTTTTAGCTTTATTGTAATAGTATAGCTTCCTCAAGCACGAAAAATAATTTCAGTGTTGAAAAAATTAAAAATTAAGTGTTTGTGGTTATAATCGATGTTCGATCAGAATCGTTTGTTGTATGAGTGTTGTTTTAAAATTAGTAATAATATTAATTAGTTACACAATAAATTCTATATTACTGTCTACAAGTTAGCGAATAAAACGAGTGCACAACACACAAGTGTTTTGTATAGCTTTTATTTCGTTTATTCTATACCGATTTTTGTCCAAAACTTGATTCATTTTTAATAGACTGTTGAACAAAGATGGTAGAATTTGAAGTTCCTTTTTTTAAATACAAAATGAGAATTATTTGTGTTTTTTTATATTTATATATTTGATGTATTAATTATGTATTTACTATTGAAGTACATTTCGGTATTTACCTTCTATTTTTTAATACTATTTTTATTGTTTTGACTACTGCTGGAAGATTTAATGAAATTTCTTTTTACACAACTATAACAAACACTAGTCAGATTCAGTGTCCGGTTTCAGTATTTGTACACTGAAAATGTAACTAATGGTAAAAATGATAAGTTAATTTTCCATTTAATTTGACAGACTTTTAAAAAATACCTACAATATTGCTGTATACCCTTATGGCTTATATCTGTTTCTGCCGAATTGATTTTACTTCGTATGATCTTATATTCTCATTGCAATATGTCATTTTTAGACCTCATTCTTATACCTAAATTTGTGATGTGTATTTTTTTGTAAAATAACTATTAAAAATAATAACAAACACTATATAGTAAGTTCATGAATAAATTATTTTATCAGCTAACTAAAAAATGTTTTAGGTTTTCATATATTGTTTTGCTTTTGTAAGCACTTTTGCACTGTTTATTTTAAATAAAATATTACGTAATCATGATTAATTTTAAATAATTAATTTAGGTATGTTCATTATTTTATATTTTAATTACTTTGATGTACTTTTTAAAATTTTTAATTACATAAAATATTTTACTGGTTTTTGGTGAACAATATAGATTATTTCTACATTACAAATAATATGTTTATCATTCTACTCCACATTATCGATGTCAATGATCTATGGCAGTAGTACTCAACCGGGGTGACATGTCACCTTAGGGTGACGTGGACCTAGCTTAGGGGTGACGCAGAATTTTAACAAGAAAAGAAAAAATTTAAAAAATAAATTTTTCGATAATAGTAAAATTATAATAATAATAATAAAATTTCGAAAACAATCATATTATTTCTTATAATACATATATTATTCACCTATACCACCACTGTCATGTACATAACATACCTCAAAGTTCGTATCTTTATATACGCTAGACAGCTTTTGGGTGGCTCTTAACAATGAATACCCTCGATTATCGAAAAATGCTATTAATGTGCTCCTTCAGTTTTCTACGTCTTGGTTATGTGAGCATGGCTTTAGTGCACTAACAAATATAAAAACAAAAAAACGCAACAGACTCACAAAAACAACTATAGAAGACGATATGAGACTCGCTCTTTCCACCATCAAACTTAGGATTCCCCAAT